AAGCAACATCAGTAGCCAGCATATCTGGAGTTAGAGCTTTGATACAAGCCTTAGAATGGAGCTAGAAAACAAGGATTAATAAAGCGTGTTGAAAATAATATAGCCATCAGTTTACAACAAGACACATGGGTTATCAAACTTTTCTCTTGTGAGGTATTGCAAAATATGAAATCATTAAGTTAAAAACCTACTGTATAATACAAATGCTACACGATCGTATCTACAACAATATAGGACAAGTTAGGAACTACGACTATTGTTCAGGAATATTTATTTTCTAACCACCATGAGTTATGGAAAAAAAAATACATTTAAATACTCAAACGATCAACATTGTTTGGTACACAATTAAAATCTTTATTCAAACGATCAACATTGTTTGGTACACAATTAAAATCTTTGTTCAAAGATCGTTTGACCTCAAAACACGTAGTGCGCTTTTTCTTTTTATAAGAATTTTAGTTATGTACCATAGAACAATGATTGGTTGAGTATTTTAAAACATTTTTAATATCTATACAAGTCCTTTGAATTTTAACCAATATAATATCACAACAGAACAAAAGTTTAAATTATTCAAACTCATCATTTTTCTATGTCAGTGATCCAACACTAAAGACAGTCTGATACAAGACTTGTGCCACAGACAAGTCATTATCATTAGTTTGAAAACTGTTTTTAAATCATAACATTGATTTTATTTACAAACCATAACCAATTATCAGTTCACCTGAAAGGCTGTGCATTAAATTATATTTTTAATAAATTTACTAACAAGTGTGCCGTACATGAACTAAATAACCAACTTGATAACATGGTAACTTTAAACAGAATATGAAAATCTATTACTTACTGTAAGAGTAGACAAAACACCTGTAGCTATTTGTAGCACACCTTTTAAGGTATCACAGGTGTCGAACACCGCTTCTTTATCTTCCTATGATTCATAAAATATGTTTGACTCATTCACTATTGTTTTTAATTGTAGTTAAATAGATTTCAAACACAATATTTACCAAAGAAACATGGCATCTAGTAAGTAACCTAGCAATGGAACTGTAAAGAAACTTTCACTGCCATGTTTATAGATAAACAGCTCTCCGGTTGTCAGGTTTAGAATTTAAAAACCCCCTCCTGATGGCAGGTTTACAGCTAAACAAATCTAAGGCAATAAAATAGTTAATTAAACCTTCCCAATTTAGGTTGTTGTTCAAGCATGTGATGAAATGTCTCAGAAAGTTGAGTAAATGTTGAAACCATAATGTTCACTGAAAGCTTCATATAAAGGTGTAGAGAATTTCAATGATGAGCTCTTATGCAAAATAATATTCACAGAAAAACGTTTTTAACATAATGACAAATGGAAAACAAGATACATATACAGACTGTAGTTTTTCCCGAAACGTCTGTTGTCAGTTTTACAAATGATATTTAAAGTAATCTTAGAAACTGAGGTTAAATACAATACCCAAATATCAACCAGTTGCTGCATTAACTCGCTAAACAAGTGACTAGAAAAAAAATAGATATCTTGAATAAAGTTGGAAGGAAACTGGCTAGTTAATGAAGAGTGATTTATTATTACCTGTATGTCTTTATTGTAGGTGCTCGGTATACCCTTCAGTACAGCCAGAAATCCTGTACACTGGTGGGTGAAAACAAAACCAAGTTACTTTGTTTGTAGAATGGTTTGTATAATATTTCTAACCATAATCATTTTTTTTCTAAATGTAGTGTCAAAATACAGAAACAGACGAAGAATAAAATTAAACTGTGAGAAAGTATAGATATGTGATAATCGTTTTACAGAAAGTTTAAATAGATTGTACTGTACTTGAAGTCTTTATGAGCTGCAAGAAGTAGATAATACTTAGCCCTTTGTGTTAAGACTAGATTATCACAACACCTTCCATTCCAAGAATTTCATAACAATAACAAATCCAGAAAATATGGTTTAATTGCATAAACCAAGTCTAGAAAATGAAAAGATAATTTTTTTTTTAAATACTATTGTCTTAATTATTGTTAATTATCTAAGATAATTAACAATATTCTAGTCAGTTCTCTGGCTAGAAGACAGTATTAATATCTGGTTGACAACTGTTAACGGTTTCCGAAACAATAGTAAAGTATTTTGGCTGTCTACAACACTTTGTTACTTAAAACATAACGGAAAAAGATGTCAAAATATTTCCAGTATTTGACAACACACTTAATTTTTTTACTTGTTACACTAAAAACTTTCCTTGTCAGTTTGTACTCTAATGAAAGAAATATGGTAAAAATGTAGATAAATAAACAGGAGTCGCAGTCTGAAAAATTAACCCTAATATTTTAAAACAAACCAGGTTGAGTATATCTGCTAAAAACTTTACACGATATATTTTGCACCCACATGGCCCAGCAACCTTCCAGCTTTTCCTCGAATCAGTTCCAAGCTATCTGGATTCTTCTTCTGTGGCATTAGACTGCTTCCGGTACTGGGAACAATAGGTACAAGCCAACGATTACTTAGGCCATTCGTTAGATCGCACACTCTTTTATGAATTAGGACAATGTGAGATATTAAAAGTAACAATAAACATTCCTGACTCTGAAATATGCAACTAAAACCTGATTACGTCCACCAATAAATTTATCAACAAAAGATGGAAGGTACAAATCACAGAAAATAACCAAAATTCTCAGAAATTAAGCATGACCTTAGTAACAGTGTTCATGGTTATCAGAAACAACACACATTTCTATTAGTATGCCTCAAAATATTTCAGATTTTCACAAGTAATTAATAAATATAGTTTGGCTTGAACTTCTACACTCATTCCATATCACAGAATGTTACATGAACAAGGAAACCATAAGAATTTAATGCAATGTTCTTAACACACAGCTACTATTGTCACAACTGTAAGTTTACACACATGTTTTCAAGTCTAACTTTTATAACTTCATTACTCTTGTTGGTGATATAGAGTTGAATATGTGATACCAGTGACAAGACAACCTACCTATAGGCATCGGCTAAAGAAACAAATCCAAATTCGCTAGTACTGTAAAGAATAAGGTCTTCTGCTAATCGGCTTAAGTGTACAGAAGTTAGAGTTGCCCAAAAGAGAAACTCGGCTGCAATGAACGCATGGAAAATATATATAAATCCTAGATAAATATGATATAGTTAAATACCTTAAGTTCAATCAAATTTATTCTTTTAATTCACTAAGAATAACCTTCGAGATACTTGATCACTCAGACTCAACAATTCTAGTGTTCAATTTAACAACTTACTGTAATAATACAAAGAATTATAAAACATAAAGTAGCACATATACTAATTAATAAAAAATAAATCAGTCTCATTAAAACAGAATCTCGATTTTACCTACAAAGTCTCGATCACTGACTCCTTGCAAACTGTTCTGGCTACATTCAGAAAATTCGAGCTCTGTAAATTAAGAACACAACTAAATAAAATAAACACTGTACATAATGTCGTATATAAATACAAGGAAATAAAATGAAGCACATAAATGTTCTGCTGTTTATTTATTATCACAGAAAACTAAGCTCCAGATAATAAACAGACAGGTTTCATTTAAATGTTGAATAGTTTCCCATGGACCACCCCTGCGTGCCTTCTGTAGATTATGGGCTGAGAACTCAGTACAGAGTCAAAATGTCACCCTCAAAACCCAACAGAAGGCATGCAGGAGCAGCCCATAAGAAAACATCAAATATTTTTGAGTGTTATTACAGGAAACTAGGTTTCAGAAAGTTAAAGAATTAATGTTTATTAAGAACACGAGAAGGTTAGCTTTGCGAATTCATCTAAACTATGTACTAGTGATAGAAAAATATGACTGAAAAGTTGGTAGCATTGGTACCGTAGCAGGCAAAAAGCACTAAAAGTATACATTATCTCATCTAAACTATGTACTAGTGATAGAAAAATATGACTGAAAAGTTGGTAGCATTGGTACCGTAGCAGGCAAAAAGCACTAAAAGTATACATTATCTCATCTAAACTATGTACTAGTGATAGAAAAATATGACTGAAAAGTTGCTAGCGTTGGTACCGTAGCAGGCAAAAAGCACTAAAAGTATACATTATCTCAAAACTGACTAACGGCATTTGAAGTTTTAAACCTGGATAGGATTTAGAATACATTTATAAAACTATTTTTTAAACCTATTTCTTTGTATACCAAAACGTTCTTTTATCTGATAAAACATCTTACTTTGGATGAAGACAATTTTTTGTACTTAAGACATAATCAATAATCATAAGTTTAATAATAAATCATTCAAATTCTATTGAATAAATAAGAATCAAACCACAGAAGGTCATACCTCGGGCTAAAAAATCTCTGTCAATATTAAAGGGGTTTCCAGCTAAAGCACCACTGAAATAGAGAGGGAGCATGTAAAAGTTATAGTACACCTAACATATTTGAATTGCAGCTTAACAACTCAAGTACAGCTACCAAATCATCACAAACATATTTAATCCAGGTAGAAATGCTCACATCAACTTTCATCTATTAATAAAATCTTAAAAGTATTTAATATAATCTATAAGCAGATCTTGTTAATGGAGTGTGTAAAATAAATCATGATGCATTTTAGAATAGATTATGTAAATTAATTGTAAAATTTGAAAAGTCCTCAAACAAGTTCTTTGTTACTGAACAACTTAATTACAGCAATAACTAGCAGTTAAATAAGTTAAAGTATATTTTTTACATCAAAAAGTTCTTGTTCTACCTAGCCCTGATGAAGCCACTGTGGAAAAAGTTAGCTGAAATAAGTTTTCATTATCTGTAAATGTCGTGTTTTTCCTAACTTTATTCGCAAAATGTTTAAATTCCTGCAGTATTAACTATAAATCCTGAAAAAAACAAAAAAAACCTTTTATAATTCATTTTTAACAAATGAAATTCATTAACTCTGGGCAGAATTTTTAGTGCTCATGCTCAGAAGTTATTCATAACCGGCCTGACATCTGTGATTTTTTTTTTTTTTTACTGTTAATAATCACTAACAATGTTTATGAAAATCGTAATTATTTATTCAGTAACTCTAGTCGATAATGTTTTTAAAGTTAAAAAGATTACCTTCCAAGAGGAAGAATATTGTTTCTAGATGCCAAGTTATCCAGTCGATCAACATCTTGTTTTAGGTACCATGCATAGCTATAGAAATAGTGAAAATAAACTTATTTTAATAATAATAATTTACTCACTCACGATAATCCAGTTGTTTACGAAACTACTTTTTTACTGTAAGTAAGGATGCCTAACTTTAAATTCTTGTGATATACAAATTGGAGACAGAGTGTATTAATTTACTTAACTGGTTAAAATAAAAGAGCAGAATTAGTAATCTTGGGAACAATCATATGCTTCTAGTAAACCGTTTATCAAAACGCCAATCTTTACTACAATCAACATGGATCAAAGAAGTTTTCTTACAACATAAATTTTGTAACATTCTCCTAACAAATGGAATATGGAGTTAACAAATACAAGTTTTAAATACTCAGTCCATACCTCTGGTTGTAGATGTGATAGATTTGGAGTATTGGTATGCCCCAAACATTTGCCTAGACCAATGGTTGAACAGGGTGTGTGACTGACCCACCTCAAACATCAACCACTTTCCTAGACCAATGGTTGAACAAATTTTGATCATCAACCACTTTCCAAGACCAATGGCTGAGCAAGGTTTGATATATGGTGTGCGACTGACCAAACATCAACCACTTTCCTTGACCAATGGTTGAACAAGGTTTGATATATGGTGTGCGACTGACCAAACATCAACCACTTGCCTAGACCAATAGTTGAACAGGGTGTGTGACTGACCCATCTCAAACATCAACCACTTTCCTAGACCAATGGTTGAGCAAGGTTTGATATATGGTGTGTGGCAGACCAGTGATAACTTTTGTTAATAAAAAATATGTCACCTTTTGATACAAAAATCCTATGGAAGTGTGGTTATATTAGGAAAATAAAATGTTACCAGAAATAATAATTTGTCAACAGAATAAACAAACGTTTTCTTAATCTTCTTACGTTAATTTGAATATAAAAAGCTGTTAAAACATATTATTTTTATTATAACTACTTTTAAATCAATTAAGATTGAAGTTGCTAATATTCTGGTCATTACCTTAGTAACCAATGGCTCCATCTGATAGGCTGAGCTCTTTGGAGGTGAGTGTAGCCTGGCAATAAAACATCAATTTCCCTGGTGATAACAAAAATTACGTTGTTAAAGTCTCGCACTATGGACTGATAACAGCTTGAAAGAGGTCAACCTTACAGAAATAGTTTCGTTATTTTTGAATATTATAATACAGCATAAAAAAAATTTACAGTCAAACGTACAATCGACCCATAAAACATTTATTACCATTTGAGCACACTACATATTTTTTAAACTTACAAATAACATTTAAATCATTTGTTCACAGGACCAGTACAATAACAGATTCGATATAAATTTGTACCTACTAAGTTTAGTGACAAAACGTTTTGGCAATCTCAAAAATTACAATTGGATTAACAGATTCCTTACTTTTCAGCTCGCTCGACAAAGACTCGAATCAGGTTTAGCATCAAACATCTCAAAGCACGAATTTCTTCTCGCTGCCACAGCCTCATGTCCGTAGCGACCTGAAAAATAGTTTATTAAAAGCCATACTTTAAAACAAAATTTTACTTCTACCAAAAATGCGAATAGTCCTAATAAATTGAAGGTGTATAGAAATCGCTACTTTTGGAAAAAAAAAACAAAATGAGAAGCAAAACCATACTGAGTGGGGTTCCAGTAGCATGTCTCCTCGGGAAGTGTTTGTAATTTTCCTTTAAAATGGTGCATATGTATGGTTGCTGAGGTTGTTTTTTTTTTACACTATTTGAATATGTTTTTTCAATATACATGTGTAAGTTAGAGGGTACGATCACACCTGCATCAACTTTGATCTTGTAAAGCTTTATGTACTTTAAAAAAAAGACACACACACACAGTGTTTTAGAAAAGAAAATATACACAGCTGTGTCAAATATGTTTGAATTATTCTGATATTAAATAATATTCCATTTTCTATTCTTTTGCAAAATTTAACTGGTTTTGGTTTTGTTTAATTAACTAACAGTCAAAAATTACATCAGGATTCTGCTACTTCCTTGTGTTCTTGCACGCAGTGCCTCATGATAGTAAAATAAAGTAATACACTTTAACACTGCTTCATTTGGCGCTATAATAAAGTAATACACTTTAACACTGCTTCATTTGGCACTATAATAAAGTAATACACTTTAACACTGTTTCATTTGGCGCTATAATAAAGTAATACACTTTAACACTGCTTCATTTGGCGCTATAATAAAGTAATACACTTTAACACTGCTTCATTTGGCA